CAAAAAACACGAGGTTTTGCAGCTTCCCCTATAGACACTGGGACATCTACGTTGCAAAACACACGAGGTTTTGCAGCTTCCCCTATAGACACTGCTACATCTACGTAGCAAAAAACACGAGGTTTTGCAGCTTCCCCTATAGACACTGCTACATCTACGCAGCAAAAAACACGGGGTTTTGCAGCTTCCCCTATAGACACTGCGACATCTACTTCGCAAAACACGCGAGGTATTGCAGCTTCCCCTATAGACACTGCGACATCTACGCAGCAAAAAACACGAGGTTTTGCAGCTTCCCCTATAGACACTGCGACATCTACGGAACAAAAAACACGAGGTTTTGCAGCTTCCCCTATAGACACTGCGACATCTACGTTGCAAAACACACGAGGTTTTGCAGCTTCCCCTATAGACACTGCGACATCTACGTCGCAAAAGACACGAGGTTTTGCAGCTTCCCCTATAGACACCGAATTAACGATGCGAAAAACGACGCGAAAACGACGCGCCGACCAACTGGCGGCGAACAAAGGTCCAACCCCCAGACCCCCAACTATAAACGGGAACCCTTCGCTACGCATTCGTTGCAAAAAACAGGAGGTTTTGCAGCTTCCCCTATAGACACTGCGACATCTACGTTGCAAAAAACACGAGGTTTTGCAGCTTCCCCTATAGACACTGCGACATCTACGTCGCAACAGACACGAAGTTTTGCAGCTTCCCCTATAGACACTGCGACATCTACGTTGCAAAAAACACGAGGTTTTGCAGCTTCCCCTATAGACACTGCTACATCCCCTATAGACACTGCGACATCTATGTCGCAAAAGACACGAGGTTTTGCAGCTTCCCCTATAGACACCGAATTAACGACGCGAAAAACGACGCGAAAACGACGCGCCGACCAACTGGCGGCGAACAAAGGTCCAACCCCCAGACCCCCAACTATAAACGGGAACCCTTCGCTACGCATTCGGGAAAAAGCAACTTGCCATTCACATCCGGATGTCTCCTGCCACCTGCATCCACCTGCCACTTGCTTGCGTGGGGGATGCAGAAAAGAACATGGATTATAGCCTTATAGCCGGGAGTATCTTTGGTAAAGGTAGGGCTTCCCACCTTGTTGTAGTAGTAGCGACGTCCATCGCTGTGGGTGTGCTCTGTCCAGTTGGATGCATCTTTGGCTGGATCGGCCATGAGACAGTAGGACAGGCAGCTTCGCTTTGAACAGCATTCTTCGAGCCATTTACCACAGATATGATCGTATGACATCATATCATATCATATCATATCAAACAGCCTGGCGAAGCCTGGCGCCTCACGACGACTCCAAATACTCCAACATACTCCAACGTGTCACAATGTACATTATGTGCTCCACAGACATGCAGCTTGGACATTTACAAGCGGAATGCCGACACTTGTAGGGACGCGATGAACACTTTATGCCGTCATTTTGCAGGGGTGCAAATTCAACCGCAGAATGGATTGCAGCAGCTTGCAGCGTGGTCTTTTGCTCTGTACATAGAACTTGTAGATGTTCACACCAAGCTCCGATGCTCTCCACTGCACAAGTTTCTCTTTACGCTGAGGGGAAAAAGCAAGTCTTGAACTGCTCCTCAGCCATGGCCCTTTTAAAGATAGTTGGTGGTGCATGATTTGTTCCATTTCGCGCCGTTGGTATGACTCATTAATGAATATTAATATCCCGAATAATTCTGAATTATTCACACATATTTCAAATTATTTAAACATGAAGACCTGTACTGCTCACTGTTCGGTCTGGCAAGAACCTGTCTGAAGTCGACGACTCGTAATCCTGTCGATGTCTGTATTGCCGTTTCCTGGCACATCGTGGGACTACAGAATTGTCCAAAATTTGACCAAACAAGAGTGCCAATGAAATACAGTTCACTTAGAATTGCAAACAACTGTGATCAGGCACGCTTCTAAGTCTCAAAGGCGCTTCAAGCACCCCAACGTCTGGGATTACCATGCTGGATCCAAGAACCTTGTAGCCCTGAGGATCAGAATTCCATGTCACCAGTGTTTGGCTTTGAAAACGGCACCGCAAATGCTGGGATTGTCTCATATAAAAACATTTAGAGACATCGAGCATGAGTTAGAGACATCGAGCATGCATGAGTCTCCAAAGGAGGTACTGTAACAATTTTATGACAATACCCGACATTTGTTGGATGCCTTCTTTGTAAAAAATGGACGCGCATGCGTTGTACTGAGACGCCAGTCTGCCACACTGCTGCCGGCACTTGGCATGTGCAAGCACTTGGCGTGCAGTGAGGACATGTCGTGACCCAGTACCTCGCCTGTGCATACCTGCTTTAAAGTCTGCAATGTCACTGCAATGTCTGCACTAAAATCTCACTTGTCTTGGCGTCTTCGATTTAACCCTTCCGTCAAATGGTCAATGTTTGGAGCTTGCTCTCAATTGATCCAGAAACGAATCAAAAAATGAATCCAGAAACGAATCCAAAAAAATAAACCAAAAACACCAAACGCTGCCTTTGACACTTGTGCAAGTACAGAACAACTCCACACATCCATTTCACGCTTTCACAATTACAATACAAGCGGAAGCTGCATCAAAAGTTCACCGTGTCGGTGGCATGGACTGAATACCTGCTGCCTACATATTCTGAGCACTTCCCTCAAACTATGTCTCAAAACAAGATTGTGAAAATTTAAGTTCCCTTTCAAATTCTTTGCTTGTCGCAAGTTGCTCTTGCGTCAGTCACTGTGGCCAAGGTAAGTAAATGTAAGTAACATTAAGTAACCTTCCATACGTTCCCACCACCGAATAGCATACATGTCTAGAAAAGTCTGGGCGTGCTGAAGTCTTGTCGGCTTTATGCAAACGGGAGGCGAGACTTGACAGGACTCCATTCCTGCCGCAACGGAGGCTGGGCGCATCTCATCAGTTTTCATATGTCGATTCATATTTGGATATATCTAGTCACCAACAACTAAACGAAAGAATTTCGTGGATGGTAGGCCATCAGAATGATATCAAGCTGCATCAGAAGTCTTACTAAATGTGCCGTTGGCAAGAGCAAGCAAAATGACAACCACCGAATGCATGTATGGTATTGAAGACCCTCTAAGTTCCATGTCCATGTCGCGGCTCAAAAGGTATATCCTTGCTGCCTACATGCAAATGCAAGTGAATTAGAAGATTCAGCCGCCTTGGTAGTCGGGCAGCCATCCAGCATTACGTAAAATGCTGCGCTGGGCGCTGGCTTCGCGGAGCCACCGAAAAATCTGGGGCATGGGATCTGTGCAGTCCTGGCGCTGTGCATTGTTGCGCCTGTACAGCTTATCTATGAGCGTGCCTGCCAATGCGTCGCAAAAACCGGGGGTACTCTTTGTGAGCATTCGTCCTGAGATTCCCATTTCGGCCAATTCCTACAGCTACCTCTGAAGGCCTCTTCGCATCTAGGTTCTGACGTCGGTACATGGAAGTATTGAAAAAGGAAGCCGAAAAGCAAGAAGTCCAGTAGGTTTAGCTACCGCGCGTCCCCATCGCCACTGTCCTACCGTATGGAGCGCAACTTCCGGGTGCGTGCGTAGCAAACGTATCCACGGGGTTTTCCCTACACTGGCTGCTTCCTTCTGCATCTTCTGCTTCCTCAAGGATAAGAATGGCAGGATGTTCACTGAGGTATAAGGCTCCCGTCACCAACGACCAAGCGATCGTGATCAGGGTCTGCATGAAGAAAAGCGAGTCCTGCTGTAGCTGTCACCACTCACGCAAACTCATCTTCTTCTCCCAAATGCCATCTCTGCATCCCGAAGGGGCCGGCCTCGGAAATTTCTTGGTTGGATTGGCTGCCTGTTCTGGGAGGACACTGTGTCTCGCAGCTGACCCCGTCTCACATGGTGCACCTGTAAGTGTCGCTGAGATGCGCCCAGTCTGATACAACTAACAAAGTTTGCTGTGTCCAGCGAAAGCACCAAAATGTGTAGCTCGCGGCGCCCAGCCCAGAAATAGAGCCCTTCATGGACGTTGCCACTCCTCCTCCTACGACTGAAAATATGTGCCACAATGAAAAGCTTCTTCTCTTGAGGCTGGTAGAAAAAACGCAAGGACTTCTCTGAAGGTAGGTCCAACCATCTGGCCTTACTTGTTTGCTGCAGCAATTCCAACTGATCCTCAAAAAGGCTTGGGACATGTGCTGCAGTCAGCGCGCGCCCACGAGAGTTTGCACTACCATATCGGACAGGTCTGTGAAGAAAAAGCTGTGGTTGCTTATCCTGAAGCCTACCCTGATTAGCCCCAAGCAGCACCCCCCGTGAAAGCAACTGCTGTCGTGGGAGATCTGCCGCGCCATCCACAAGGTTGTCAGTCACATCTGAGAGACAGTCTTGTCCCCAGCTGAGAATCTCCGCCTCAATCCACTGATCAAACGCTGCTTCAAATTGAAAAAGACAGGCTAACCACCTGTCCGGTAGCTGTGTGGCCAAATCTTCATCGAATCCTTCCTGACAGAATTCGTCAAACCAGTCCATCGTGGTCTGAGTGAGCCGTGCACGCAGTTTCAGCCTGCTTGCCTCAGGGGCAGCAGGTTCATGTGCAATGTGCAGCTCCTTGTTGATGAGTTCAAATTCAGCCGTATTGTCATCAAGTTGCTGCTCTGTAATGTCAGTAAGCGGCAAGTCCGGTCCATGTGCTTGCAAAGCCTCAACCCGACCCAGGCCATGCCGGGCATGTCGCTCCATCAATCAAAGTGCGTTCAGGTGCAATCTCACTATGCTGTTGCCTCTTGTGGCATGCAAGTCCCTGTGGGTCTGTGGGTTGGTGAAGCTGCGGCCGCAATGACAAACATGAGCGCATTTGGTGTCAATCCCAGCTGTGAGTGGTGAAGGGTCAAAGGTGGCCCCTGCATCCCCCAAAATACGACAGAAAGTCTTGTGCATTGCAAGGATTTCACTCATCATACGTTCTTGCTGTCGAAATCTTTTACATGCATGCTTGACACAAGCCTTCCATCTGTTCGCACCCACTTGCCAGTAAGCAAAAAAATCCGTCAAGTCAAAGTGCTCCGGGCTAGCCGTAGCTGCAAGGGGTGCAAGACCGGAATGTCGGTGCCTCCATTCTGACATAGCCAAAAAAGGTCATGTTTCAAGCCCAGCACCCAAGAATCCTGAGTGATCGCTTCCTCTCTGTGTAGAGCATGCTGAAGCGTCCGTACTGCCAAACTTTCTGCGCATACAAAAGCCGATCCACAGCCAGGCGAGCCCCTCTACATTGAGCTTGAACAGCTTCCGCTACATAGTGAGCAGGGCCGCTTGAATTTTCGCTATCTGTCTTGCTGTCGGAGTAGCCCATGCACCAAGGCCGAAGAATAGTCATGCTCTCAATCAACGATGAAAAGCCTGATCTTGGATGGGGCGGGCCACTTGTGCGAAGGCACTCTTAGCCACACCAATACGCATAGCAATCTCCTGGTCCAAGGTGTGGGCCGAACTAAACATTGTTCCCAGGTGGTTATAGCAAGGCATGAGGTGTACAGACGCTTCTTCCTGTACAAGCTGAACTGAGAAGCCTGGTCGGGACTCCAACTGATACTTGGCATGCATAGCCGGTGCTCCCGGACCCTTGAAAGTGGCTACTACACTGGCTTTGCCTTTCTGCAGGTTGAGACCCTCTCCGCTGGAAGATCGCATGAACTTGGCTCAGAGATGCTTCAATGGTAGGTGCCAAGTCTCGAGCTCCAAAGGTGGCAACCGGTATCGCGACATCATCCGCCCAGACAACACTTTCAACCAGGAAATCTGCCCCGGCAAGAACTTGACAAAATTCATCATTGGCAACCACATGACTTGATTGGTCTCAGCCGTGATCCCCGTCATGAGGATGTGTCTGCAAGAGGTGATCCTGGCCGTGTCCCTTTGCGTGTGACAATTGGCTGACTCCCTCCAGAGACTTGCATCCACGTATGTGTATGTAGGTCCTGCACCAACTGCACAAGGAATGGTGGCACCTCAAGTTTCTGCAAAAGGCTAAGTATTTGCAGCAAACCAATGAGATCCTGAATAGGAATTCCTTCTTGCAGAAGTTGCTCAAGTACAGCCTCCGCATCACTAGGCACATGAGCTCCAGAGACCAATTCTCGCACAAGCTTATGGAAGGCATTGCTGAGATCCACAAAGGTGATCGCAGAGGATACATTCATCGCATCCATGACCTTTCCGAATGTCTGCAAGAGCTGCGATCCGTACATCACTTGCACATGGGGAACCCCGCCCAACTGACCTTGCGGCCTAGTCTTTCCCAATAAGTACATAAGTCTGGATCTGATCAAAGAGCGAATCCGCTTTGCAAGGGTAGATAGCAGTGATCCCGCGATAGTCAGAAGCCAACAACCCAGGGCCCCTCTTGTATATCACATCCATTACACAACCCTTTGCAGAGATTGGTTCGTGTTGCCACAAGCAGGCCTTCAAAAGGAGTGGAAGTACAACTTGGATAATGCAACCACTTGCTGACTGAACAGCTTGGATGGTAGTGGATCTAGGCCTGTCGCCCGATCAGCTTGTGTAGCTCTCAAGGCATCTTCCAGTTCGATCAATGACGGCAAATCAACACATTGAAACTCACCCTGCACCACCGGCATAGACATTTGTCGTTCATGACAATCTTGGACAAGCTCGTGGGCAGAACATTGAACTCCACATTCAAGCTGTTGAAAATATGGTGTCCACATGATCATTCAGTACCTCTAATCGACGCGGTTCTTGTCCCACACGCCGCTGTTTGAATCGAGGCAAACTTCAGCGTAGCACCTTCCAGAAATCTCTGATTTGATGTCGAGCGAGACATTCGGATACAGATCGGGTCAACTGATCGATAAAGGTTGCATCATCTCGTCGCAGGCTCATAGTGACACGCCTGCCTAGTTGTCGAAAACGAAAAAAGGTGCAAACGCAACTGAACGGTCAAGTTGGCACAGCATGGAATCAAACGCTTGTGCGAAACTGGTGCATCGCATCCCTTGTTGAGTGTTCTTCCAAACCGCAAAGAAGCCGGCAAGCAAGGTCTTGTTCTGGAGGTGCTGATACTCAGCCAGAATTCCTCGCCATTTCCTCTTGGTCTTGTGACCAATCAGATCCCATGTTGTGGCAGATATTGTTTGCTTCTGCGGTTGCTTGGATTGGTGCGGAAGTTTTCAATAGCAGTTCACAATTGCAGTTTGAATTTCCTTGGCATGTGTATGCACATCCAACTGACAAGAAGCTGGCACTTGACGTGCGAGCTGTTCAATGTCAGCATGTGCAAAGTCATTGGCCTCGAGTTTGGGGTATCGCTTCATGCTCGCTGTGGTAGGAAGACAGTGGCTTGTGCAAAGAAGGGCCTATGGTCCTCCTTCTGTGAGGAAAAATCAACCTTCTCGGGAACCCAAGTCGTGCACATAGACACTGGAAGAGACATAGACACACCAATGTAGTCATTCCGCTTCCAGTTACCATTACCATGCATGCAACCACGTCCCACGTTCACCAGCATGACATCGTTCAAAGGTGCTTGGCAAGAAAATGTCGTGAATCGCAAGGAAGTCGACAAATGGCTGGCTTTTCTCATGCATACCTTCCGACTGCCAAGATCCAACTCTCTCTTCAGGATGTCCTCCAATTCGATAGTTGGCATCTGTAAGCAAAATTTTGGGCCACATGCGGTATGTCTTCCCAATACTATTCGTCGCACCTGCCCAGTACTCTTCTATCTCTGCCAAAGTTGCTCCGGAGTGCGGTGCATGCGCAACGATCAGAACACATTTCAATGCTGTGGTCCGGATGCGAACAATCAGCAGTCTTGGCTGTGCAGTCGATATCTTGCACGAACCCTCAGTGAAAAAAAAACTTTGGCCATTGGTTTCTCCGCGGGGAAGAGTCTTGGAAAGGCCAATCATAGCACCAAAATGACCTTGCATATTGGCTGGGCTTTTGATCAACACATACCTCGAGTCTCCATGACGAACAAGCTTCTTCAAACGACTCCCTTGGAGACCAAAAATATGGATTCCACTCTGGTGCGAAGTTTCCAGGATCCAATCTTGTCGTGCTGGCCCAGCAATACCGCAGAAATCGACAGCCGGTGTCGCTCCACCACGCAGTGTCAAGACATTGCACGTGGCAACCTTACTGCCAACTTTAGAAGAAACTTCACCTACAGACTCCTCGACAGCTAAGGGAATAACCTGTGTGAAAGGTCTAGTGCTAGGCTTGACGGGGAACTTGAGATGTCCATCTTCAAAATCGACATCCGACAATGCAGTGAACAGAAGCCATGCCCATTCCATGGTTCGCGCAAAGTGCGGGGCAAGTGCAAAGCTCAGGAAGTGGTCCCACCCAATAGACTGGCTAAGACAAAAAATTGTCTAATCCCTATTCTGTAGAAATCTGACTATTAGGTATTTTTTTTTGTCTAAGACGACCTTTTTTTTTGTCTAAGACAAATTTTGAAAATTTGTCTTAGACAAAAAAAAGTTGTCTTAGATAAAAAATATTTGTCTTAGACAATTTTTTTTGTCTTAGCCAAATTGAAACTACATCAGTTTTTTTTTCAAACTGCCTCAAAACTGCCTCCAAACTACCTTATCATTTTTCTATCATTTGGTGGAGGGTGTGCAAAAAGTATCAAAAAGTAAGAGAAATAGTGAGGCAGTTTCCCCAAAAATCACCAAAAAAGTGAGGAAGTTTCCCTTTAAAACATGAGGTAGTTTGAAGGCAGTTTCACAAAACACACGAGGAAATTTCAAGGAAATTTCCTCGAAACTTCCTCATGGAGGATTGGCAAAAAATCTGACTTAGACAAATTTATTTGTCTAAGACTCGTGTCTTAGACAAATTTGTCGAGCAAAAATTTGTCTAAGACAAATTTTAAAAATCTGACTATTAGACAATTTTTTGTCTTAGCCAGTCTATTGGGCAATTTTGTAGCGGGTGACCATATGCGGCACATCGCGCTAGGGTGTCCACCAATTCATTCCCAGGCTCCCCTGCATGTCCTGGGCTGAAACATGTTCCACCGTTACACCAAAATCGTCCTTCACAGAGCCGGAAGACACTGCGTAGAAGGTGACACACATGGATAGCACGCTGGGCCTTCCAAAGGCCTTCAGATTTCCGTCCCACTGTAATGGAGCCAGAGACCATTTCACAGATAGGAATGGAGTGAAAAACCTCTCGCAAAACCTTGCACAAATCATACATCATCTTGGTAGCGAAATTGGCCGCGTAGACCTCTGCTTGATAAGATCCATGTGGTAAAGCAAATGTCTCTGCTCCACATGCTCCATGAGGACAAAAGCTGCAGCCGCAAACCCAATCTGACCTGTGTCAGGCAGGAAGGACCCGTCATAGTAGATTCTCACTCTGGCAACATTACCATCACATGCATACCAGGGACCTCGAATCCATCGTAATGTGTTCGGGTACCACTGAGCAGATCCTTGGAGCTGCACCTCAATGTCAAACATGGGCAAGATGAAAAATGAATCATACCATTCCATAGAGGCACAAGTCTGCTTCATGCCAACCTGTGAGGTGGAATTGGATCCTGTAGAGTTATCTGTTGTGACATCTGCTATTGGTGCATCCTGTTGCCTGGATTGTTGTGTGCGGAGAATTTCACCCAACTGTAGCAAGTTTTGCTCATCCTGGCCATGTTCATCCCATGTAGAAAGGAACGGTCGATAGATGTGCACATTCACAATGAGTCCATGCTGGGCCTCCAGTATGCGGTCACCAAGGATTTCAAGACTTCCCATCCAGACCCGGCAATGTACACCTGCAGAGGCTCCAAGTTTGTCCGGCGAGCTGAATCAATAATGGCATCCCGATCAGCATAGTGATTGATCACAGTGGCAGCGGTACATGGCTGTCCTCGTGACAACAATACCGCGCTGCTCCGGAGGGATGTGTTGGTAGAGCAACATTGGGATACATTCCAATGGGCTGCTAGCAGGTGTTGGTGAGCCAAATGCAAAATCAATCTCACTGCTTGCATCTTCCAAATCATGCCACGCTCTGCGAAATTCTTCGATGCACTGGTGGAAATCATCTCCTAAGAGCACTGGTCTAGATTGGTCATTGTAAGGCATGTCTGTATCATCTATATACCAAGTGGTGACCCCCAGAAGCCCGTCAAAAGAACCTGCTCCACGTCTAGCATCACGAACCCATCGTTCATAGAGCACTTGAATGAACCGTGGTTGGTCTTCAGTATGCATGGATGGTCCAAGGTCTGCAAGCAAGGGTGGTCCTGTTTGCAAAAGTGCAACTGCTTGCGGACGAGAAAGCAGGTCATCATCAACACGTCCTCCTGGTGGTGGCACTGTGCTTTGGTTTCTTTTCAGGGAGTCGATCAAAGGCTTGTATTCTGGAGGTGGGGCACAACTGGAAGCGGCAGGAGCTGCTGGTGCCGTTGCAACCAGAGGAGCCACCACTGGTGCCATCTGCTGTGCAGCTTGCATACATGTAGTTCCTGCGGCCATAGAGGTCGGAGCTGGTGCTCGCATCAGCTGCGATTGTTCGGCTTCCTGCTTCCTGGGTGTGTCTTGCTTCTGCTCGGCATTCCTCTGCCTGGGTCGGGGGCTTTTGCCCTTGCCTTCCCATTTCCATTTGCCGCGCCGCTTTGGGCCATTGTGCCCTCTGCCCTTGATAATAACTTGATCCGCTGCGATCCCAACCTGTCCATTGGTTGTAAGCAGCATCCGCAGCATCTCCGACCACATCCCAACGTGCTCCGCAGCGGTGGCAATGTGTTGAATCATTGTAAGCTTCTGTGTCCACTTGTCGATGCATCTCAGGTAGGCTGGGTCTCTGGAGTGGTGGCAATTCAAGACCTGTTTGATCCACAACAAGGTTGAAAGACTGCCAGTCCGATGACCAATCCGAATCTGCCACCAAAGAAATCGGGCAAGGGGACGAGAACGCATCTGTTTCCGCCGCAAAGTCCACGATGAAGCCATTGTAGCTGAAAAACCAACAACAGTACAAGGAAAATGCACATAAAAATCTGTAAAAAAAGCCACAGCCAGGGCATACCAGTTCAGTTGCGCAAGAATAAGTCAAAATTGATCGATTGCCACAACCAGGGTTGCACCAGTTCAGTTGCGCAATAAAAATTCACACAAGGGCCAGAATCAGGTTGAGGCGACCTGCAGAACCAGAGAGCCCTGTGCAATTCCCCGGGATTCGGCAGGCCAGAGAGTCGATGGCTGACACGTAGAAATCCCGCGGGCACCTAGCCTGCTATGGCTATGCGCTCCGAATGGGGTTCACGCGGGGGGCACCCCAATGGAGCCAAAACCTTACCTATGAAAAAAAGTATGTCAACCAGTTGGACATGTGGGACACTCTTGTCAGATCTTGTCAAACATTCTTGAATTATTCTCAGACATTCTTGTAGAAGATCTTTGGGATTTGGATGAATTTGGACGGGTCTTGTAATCGCTCTTGGACATGTCCCAGACCACGAATCCCTACGCCGGAGCCTCAGCGATGCGCCTGCCACGCAAAATGCCGCGCCCGGCATGCAATTTGTGTTCCCAGGATCCGCTTCACAAAAAAAGGGAAACTAAACATATGCAAACAGTTTTCTAAAGCATTCCGCTTGCCGTTTTACAAGGACCACACCAAGGTACTGGATTTTGACACGCAATAATTCTATAAGTCTAAGGCGCTTCTGATTAGATTTAATTCGCATGTAATTTCGCTATTTACTAAGGCTAAGGCGTTTCACACTTGACTCTTTGACACACTTGCAAAACGACAGCACCAATTTTGTTGAATTTTGCTCAACATATGGCCATGAAACAGCGCAACTATGTGGGATTTTGTGAGTACTCACTTCCGACATCTTCCAACAGGTTCATCGTCGGCCTCCGCTTGATGTCCTAGGCCCAGTTCTTTCAAAGAACTCAGTGCTCCATGTAATTCATGAAGCCAGCCTGATTCTTTCTGCAAGATGATGCAAGATGTGAGTGTTGCATAGTGTTGCCATATTGAGACTTGCCTGCACCCTGGAAAAGGCAAGGCTGGTACTCAGGATCCAGGTAATGTAGAACTGTAGTAGCAGTAGTAGCAGTAGTAGCAGTAGCAGTAGTACAGTAGCAGGAGTAGAAGTAGCAGCAGCAGCAGTAGCAGGATCTAGTAGTAGCAGTAGCGCAGTAGCAGTAGCGCAGTAGCAGTAGCGCAGTAGCAGTAGCGCAGTAGCGCAGTAGCAGTAGCGCAGTAGCAGTAGCGCAGCAGCAGTAGCGCAGTAGCAGTGCCTAGTACCTAGTAATGGTATATTATTGTATATCAAATGTTAACGTATCACGTGTATCAAGATGCATCAAGGTGACAAGGGGTAGCAGTATCAACATGACCTCGTCATAAAATGTACAAAACAGTTGGCAACTGGATTACAAACAATGCCTCTGAACGCAGTATCACACCTGCCTTGTCACCAGCAGCCTTGGGCGTTGCTAAGCCAAGTCGTAGCATGGCCTCGGTGCAATGCTCAAATTGTCACTGCCAAAAAATGGAACGACGCTTAGAGTTTTGAAGATCATTCACGCTGGAGTCGGCTCCCGTCCGCCTACAAACGTTGCAAACATCCACCTACAGGATTCCGCAGTTAAGCATGTCCCGCCATGACGGCCACGTCATGTTGTGTGAATTGACCTTGCAGTACAAAAGACCTAGAACCCACGCTCAAGACCTAGATCAAATAACGTGATTGAATACTGTACTGTGACAGTATCACACCGCCACCAGTTGGACAGCCACAATCCCATACCACGCCTTCCATCGTCGATCTGTTGAGTTCAAATCGGCCCTAACAATTGGGGACTACCCAGCCCACACACCCCTCCACATCCCTCAGCAGCGCTACCGTCTTGCCCTTCTTCCGAGATTTCACCTTCATTTGCTGCAGCACTTTCAAAAAGACCTGTATAATCAGTTCATATCAAATCTTATAGCTGCTTGAGCCTCTTCTGATTGGCCTGTCGCCTCTCTATCCCTGCCTTTCAGATTGTAATTGTTTCTTTCACTGCTGTTCGGTGTCCACCTTTTCATTCGCATCTGCAAATATCTTCCGCCCAATGTTTCTTACATGTTTCTGCATCTCCTGCTCTTGCAATCACAAGGCTTCCAAGTGCTGATTCAAAACTGCAAAACCCTCGATGTCACCTCACCAGGTGGGCAATCGTGGCAGTGTCTGCACTCTGCACCGTTCAAGCACCCTGTAGGCTTCCAGAACCATGCGCAGGGGCGACACTCACCTCAATCTGATCAAAGGTTTCCGCACACGGGGTGTTTAGAATGTTTAGCTCCCCTCTCTCGCTTCCCCTTCCCCTTCCCCTTCCCCTTCTTCTTCTTCTTCGTCTCTGTCTCTCTGTCTCTCTTCCTTTCTCTTCCTTTCTCTTCCTTTCTCTTCCTTTCTCTTTCTTTCTCTTTCTTTCCCTTTCTTTCTCTTTCTTTCTCTTTCTTTCTCTTTCTTTCTCTTCCTTTCTTTTGTTTCTCTCTCTTTCTCTTTCTTTCTCTTTCTTTCTCTTTCTTTCCCTTTCTTTCCCTTTCTTTCTATTTCTTTCTCTTTTTTTCTCTTCCTTTCTCTTCCTTTCTCTCTCGTTCTCTTTCTTTCTCTTTCTTTCTCTTTCTTTCCCTTTCTTTCTCTTTCTTTCCCTTTCTTTCTCTTCCTTTCTCTTCCTTTCTCTCTCTTTCTCTTTCTTTCTCTTTCTTTCCCTTTCTTTCTCTTTCTTTCTCTTTCTTTCTCTTTCTTTCTCTTCCTTTCTCTCTCTTTCTCTTTCTCTCTTTCTTTCCCTTTCTTTCTCTTTCTTTCTCTTCCTTTCTCTTCCTTTCTCTCTCTCTTTCTCTTTCTTTCTCTTTCTTTATCTTTCTCTTCCTTTCTCTTCCTTTGTCTTCCTTTCTCTTCTTCCTTTCTCTTCCTTTCTCTCTCTCTCTCTCTCCCCCTCCCTCCTTTTGTGTCATTTTTTGCGGTTGGACTTGGATTCTAAAGGCCATGCATATGAGACTCAGAACGCATGGAAGAGCCACATGAAAGCAAATAGTGTAGAAACACAGGAGTGCTCTGGACAAACCCTGAGCCTAGATTAAATATAGACGGTGCCTGTGCCGTGAAGGATGCTCCCTTCGCTCGCCGGCTTTGCAATTTGAGCCTTGCAATTTCAAGGCACCCTGGAATAGCACAAGCAAAAATAGGGAAACATGCCAACGTCTACACAGCACGAAGCTATAGAGCAAGTATATACCTACATTATCCCAAGAGGTGGTTTGCAACAGGTTTGAGAACAAGGATCTACAACATCCTGCCTGTGCTGCCATATGCGTCCTTGGCGTGGTGATGTCAGATTCTGAAGTGGCAGCTGCTGTCGATCCTCTCATGGGACGAGCATGCAAGTGGAGGCATGTTGAAGCTCCCAGGAGGTCGGTTTTTCAGCGCTGGCTCTGCCCTCGGCTTGCATTGCTGCATTCATCCACCATTCTCGATCCGTTCCGCTGTGTTCCAGGATATACCATCAGTATCTGCGAGAATCTTGTAGCAGCACCAAACAGAAAGCGCGACGCGCACATACGTAAATTCCATTACAACCCAATAACAATAGCAATAACACCAACAAAAACAGTACGGTGACAGTACCAATTACGATACAATACGGTACAATACAAAACATACATAACATAACAGAACACAACATGCATGCATAGGAACTTACTCACTTTACTTTGCGCTACATATAGAATTATTTCATTAAACAAATAGATAAATATTTTATTATACTATATTATAGTATATTAACAAAAAAATATTATACTAAATTCTATCATATTATATTCAATTAAAATATATAATATTATATTAAATTAATATATAATATTATATTAAATTAATATATATATATATATTAAACTACAATATTTTATAGTATATCATATTAAATTAAATTACATGAAATTATATCATATTGTATTGCGTACGTATTACACAATACATTACACAGAACATTTTGCATTTTACATCTGACACTTTACATTACATAGACTACAGAAAATACATTACATTGAACCCATTGAATACATTACTTGCATCCATTACATGCATCGCATACATTACACATGCAGTACATACACTACATGCATTACATGCAGCACATGCATTGTACACATTACATAAACTACATACATACATGCATTAAAAAAATAATAACACAAATAAGATACATAACATTAACATTTCCATAAATTTTAATATACACATCAATTGCCAGTCTGCCAGGCTCATGGCAAAGAATACAACAAAGTAACTACAAGGTGCACGACCTTTAATTGGCCGTGGTACAATCTGCATTTTGAAATCTCAAAAAAGTGTCTGGCGTTGTGGTGCCGTATCGATTTTGATATCTTAGGTGTAAAAATCAGGGTTTTGGAATTTCACAAAACTACTTTTCTTTTGCACATCATCTGCGTGTCTGAAAGTCCAAGAACATGTTAGAAGCGTAGCATCAAGAGCGTGTCTAAAGTTCCAAGAACATGTTAGAAGCGTAGCATCAAAAGCATGTCTGAAGTTCCAAGAACATGTTAGAAGCGTAGCATCAAGAACGTGTCTGAAGTTCCAAGAACATGTCAAGAAGCGTAGCATCAAGAGCGTGTCTAAAGTTCCAAGAACATTTTAAAGAAGCGTAGCATCAAGGAGCGTGTCTGAAGTTCCAAGAACATGTTAGAAGCGTAGCATCAAGAGCGTGTCTGAAGTTCCAAGAGCATTTTAAGAAGCGTAGCATCAAGAGCGTTTCTGAAGTTCCAGGAACATGTTAGAAGCGTGGCATCAAGAGCGTGTCTGAAGTTCCAAGAACATGTTAGAAGCGTAGCATCAAGAGCGTGTCTAAAGTTCCAAGAGCATGTTAGAAGCGTAGCATCAAGAGCATGTCTGAAGTTCCAAGAGCATGTTAGAAGCGTAGCATCAAGAGCATGTCTGAAGTTCCAAGAACATGTTATAAGCGTGGCATCAAGAACGTGTCTGAAGTTCCAAGAACATTTTAAGAAGCGTGGCATCAAGAACGTGTCTGAAGTTCCAAGAACATTTTAAGAAGCGTAGCATCAAGAACGTGTCTGAAGTTCCAAGAACATGTCAAGAAGCATAGCATCAAGAGCGTGTCTGAAGTTCCAAGAACATGTCAAGAAGCGTAGCATCAAGAGCGTGTCTGAAGTTCCAAGAACATTTTAAGAAGCGTAGCACCAAGAGCGTTTCTGAAGTTCCAGGAACATGTTAGAAGCGTAGCATCAAGAGCGTGTCTGAAGTTCCAAGAACATGTTAGAAGCGTAGCATCAAGAGCGTGTCTAAAGTTCCAAGAACATGTTAGAAGCGTAGCATCAAGAGCGTGTCTAAAGTTCCAAGAACATGTTAGAAGCGTAGCATCAAGAGCATGTCTGAAGTTCCAAGAACATGTTATAAGCGTGGCATCAAGAACGTGTCTGAAGTTCCAAGAACATTTTAAGAAGCGTAGCATCAAGAGCGTGTCTGAAGTTCCAAGAACATTTTAAGAAGCGTAGCGCCAAGAGCGTGTCTGAAGGTCCGAGAGCATGTTTGAAGCGTAGCAGCAAGAGCGTGTCTGGAGTTCCAAGAACATGTTAGAACAAAACAAAGAAGCGCGCGACAAGAACGTTATTTCACCTCCCCCACCCCCCAACCCCAGAAATTACAAAAATGTAAAAAACCGCCAAGGGCGTGTGCCTCCAACTACATAAGTAACGTAGCATGAACAATGTCAAAAAACAAGTAACGCGGCATGAAAGATGTCAAATAAAGGTCGTGCTCCAGTGCTCCAGCTACAAAGCTGCTCCTTGTTCAGAATTCACTTCTGCCTCGCAGGTCAGGGCTTAGGGACACGCTTGAAAGGTAGCGAAATCAACAGCGGCACCGAGATAGCTAATTGATTCTTGACATATGCTGAAATATGCCCGCACCTGTTCATTAAAGCAGAATGTACCTGAAGCTGTTCAGCGTAGTAGGTGGAATGGGCGTTCCACAACCCGCAAAGTGCTGAAAGACATTTAAGCCATGATCACCAGAGACGTCAAGACATGCGAAAAGACGTGGGTACATAGCATGAAGAAGATGCCGATGCCACATAATACCACACAATGCCACATGATGTACTAGTCTTAGTCTTAGTATGTCTTAGTAGAGGTTCATATTTTCGAAGTTTTGACATGTTTTGACCAATTCAAAGCTGGGTGGCTCAGAGCAAGTTGAGCTCGTTCCTCTGCTGCTGGCTTTGGCGATGTCAGACCTTTTGGAAGAGCTGACTTGTTTATTAATGCTGCTTGATCATGATCCATTTGCGTGGGGTTCTTGTCCCTCACAATGGTTCGCACAAAGATGCAAAAGGGAATGGCTTTTGCGAGCCTGATGGTACATAAGAGATCATAAGAGCACAGTTGCAGTGGACCTGGTGACAATGTTGCAAGTAACTAGGTATCTCAGGCCGAAGCCCAGTCGCATAAATGCGGACCTGGGGAGTTGGAGTTGGCGGCTCAAACATGCACAAAAATAAATCCACGCATATCATCCATACAAATTATCACATCGTGTTAGTTATCAACACCAACGGACACTGATGGAGGAAAGGGAGGCAGAAGGGGGAACAAAGAATGCTGAAACATGCAATGACAGACCTAACATCTAAGATGATCTAGCCTTTCATGCTTGTGGCCAGAGCTTCTTCTAGTATTAGTGGCTACTGTATGTATCAGTGTTCGATTTGTAGGAATGATCTGACATGGATGATGATGAATATAATTCAAGAGTTGAAACATACCATGTCATTCATGGCTATGCAATTAGACATATTCAGAAATTGATGATCTGATGGATGAAACGCTGTCAAGACACTTCGCCTTCTTGCGAGACTTCAGCTCATCTTTAGGGCACAAATGGCAATGAAGGCACTCTTTACCTCAGATTCGATACTTGGCTTAAATACGAGACTCTAAGACTCCAAGTGGCCAATGGTTGAGGCTTGAGGTTGCAAGGCTACAAGCGCAGGCCATGTTGCCATTCTGACAAGAGCCAGGCTTCCAATACCAAGCGCAGGGCTTGCCTTGGCAACCCACTGCCTAGATTTAGAGTTTGTATGATTTTGCAATACTAAACGGGCCAAGACAACGGGAACAATTGCAGTACTCCAAGATACAGGTAATCGCAGATAAGAAATGATACGAAGAACTCCGAAGAACCAAGAAAACTGTCAGAAGCTGCAGCTGAGGTTCAGTTGCCTTGCGCATGAAGTGCTGAGCCATGACTGGGGGTATCCTCGGGAGGCGCCAAGCCTGCAATGGTGCAGCAAAGGCAAATAAGGGCAGCATGCAAACTTCAATAATGGCTAAGCGGATATAGATTGGAGTAGATTGAACTGGATTGAATTAGATTGGATGCTGATATAGATTGAACTAGATGGGATGCTGATTGAATTAGATTAATTAGATTGGGTGAATTATTTAGACTGACGTAGATTGATACAGTGCCACTCGAAGTCACTTCATGTCACTTCTACCTTCTGCACTTGCCGCACCTGGTGGAAAATGTATCCGGACCCCATTGCGGCTCATCACCTGCGCATGGCAGTCTCACTTTGTCTCACTGAGAGATTTCAAAACAAGGGGCGGCCTAGTGAAAGGGTAACAGTGGCTTTCGCAAAGAAGCGCAGTTGCGGAAAAAAACATGGTAACACCATCACCCACTCCTTACATAAAGCTGAAACTAGGCAACGACTCAATTTCATGCAATCTTTGTAATTATGTCCCTATATATCCCTATATGTCCCTTGCCAGGAAACACTCAACAATTACATCCCAAATCATCCCAAATTATCTAACTCCGTCTAACTCCGTTGACAGCCGTGGAGCTGATCCAGGACTTCCAGGATCCTTATGAGTTGGCGAGGCCATATCTTCTTCCTGCGCATGTGGCAAGTCAAGGGAGAATACGAATGTACGCAGCCCCAGGCATTTGAAGATTTTTGAAGGATATAAAGACTGTGAGTATTGGCCAATGTTAGTGTCTTGCAGTGTCTTGCACAAATGGTTCAAGCCCAGCAAAGAAACCTTCAAATCATGAATGGGTCGGGGCAGCCGGGCTGGCGCTTGACTGGGTGAAGCCGACAAAATTGAGTTGAATCGCCAGCTCTTACGTACGGATGCATCGCGAAGTGAGGAACATTGCCATCTCATGATCGTTCTGATTCATTTGTGCATGTGCAAGCAGAGTTGGAACAAGGAACTGCAGCATTCACATGCATTCACCTCAATAAACCGCCAACGAACCATTCGTGAAGGGCCATTTCGCGTCACTAAACTAATGAATTAAGGTATGTAATTAAGGTCGAAATGAAGCCTATACTTAAAGAATATTTAAGTATGATAATAATAACATGAATAACAGTAACCATAATATAACAACACTGATACAATATATAATTAAAATATAGTAGCAATACTAATAATAAATATAACAAAAAATATTAATAATAATCTTAATAAACAACAAGAAAAAAAGAATGGTACTAATATTATATTAACATATAACAAAAATACTCCCTATTCTGCAAAATATGGCCTTACATGGCAAAGTACCTCGAATTTAGGCACTTGAAGTGAAAATTGACCGAATGAAGTCCAGCCGACCTCAAAGTGAAGCTTCTTCTCTGGCATTTGCCTTGAGTAGTAAAACTGAAAGGCAAGCATCGGCAACAACATGTGAAAAGAAAGGATATATAATTGCATTTGCGGTCTAAGGCCTTCGGCTCACCAATGTCTTACCCAAACTTCTCAGGCAAGTTGCATGGGGAGGAACACAGGTGCGGTTGATCGCATTTTGCTACCTGGCTGCATGAATCTATGCAAATCCATGAAAATGCATGCAAATGCCTCATACCAGTAGTAGTCACAATGTTCAACCCGTTGACAAAGTCTGGGGCTGGAAAGTATACATATATGGATGCATATCGCACAGTTTTGTAAAGAAAGAGCATCGGTACCGGCTGCACTGCATGCCTCAACTTTCATGGAAAGACGTCCTGTCCCTCTGAAACATTTGAAACATCTGAAAAGTTTGAAGACTGTTCATGTTTCCACTGTCGGTGCTGGATATGACCGCAGCCTCCAGATGCGGCCGTCGGAAACACCTTCATGGGCTCAGCCAAGTACCCTTCCTGCTCGAGGGAGACAAAATGAGACAAGCGATATGAAAATCAAAGAAAAACGAGGGATGCCAAAGGTGCCAAAATTGCACCGCATTTTGCATCACTGCGATGCATGGCACCAGCATGGCACAACCGGCACGGTGATACGCCTCCAAGGTTGTACAAGCCGGGAAGCCGTTGCAAGCCAATGCAAGCCAATGCAAACCAGCTCGCCTTTGGAGACATGGGGTTAGAGTTGGTGGTGGTGGTGGGCACGTTGGCGACGTCGCTCATGACCTTGGAGGCACAGCATGCTCGAACAAGATCTGATGCTTCCGATGGTGGCTTTGAACAGTCTTGCGTAGTTCTGCATGGTCTTGCTGTAATGCGGTTGACTGCTTACTCTGTATATAAGGCAACATGAGTGGCATAATTATATATAATTATATATATATAACATTATATAACATATTAAAACCACCCAATGGATTCAAACGAAGAGCGTTTGATGGTTCAAATTTCAAAGACCATCTGTGCTCTGAAATTCCTGAAACGTGCCAAAAATCAAGAACATATTTGTTTTAGTCCATGTTTGAAACTGGACTTGCACTTTCCGTGTGATCATTGGGGTGCTTGCAAACCAGCCACTGCGTATGGGCCTTTGTGAAGCAGTCAGAAATCGAGGCTGAGCCAAAAATCGCTTCAGAAATCTCGCGATTCGGCAAAACCTGCACTTTGCCACATTGCGTTTTGGTGCCTAATGCGGCTTTCATTCTGTCAGGGTGAGTCTCTATCTACCAGTTTGAAGGGGCCTATTGATTGAAGCTGGCGCCGTGCCTCGCGGCCTGTGTGTGAAAGCTCATTTTTCGGTTTTTTGTCTTGGTTGAGGTGGGGTGGGGTGGGGCATGTTAACGTTCGCTTGCACTTGCGTCATGACTTTGATGCTTCGTGACGGATGGGGTGGGGTGGGGTGGGGTGGGGCATGTTGACGTTCGCTCGCACTTGCGTCATGACTTTGATGCTTCGTGACGGATGGGGTGGGGTGTTTTGGGGTCGGGGTGTGGCATGTTAACGTGCGCTTGCACTTGCGTCATGACTTTGATGCTTCGTGACGCTTCACTTGCGACGATGATGACGATGATGATGACGACGACGACGACGACGATGATGAAGATAATGTTGATCATGCCTGCGGCCCACAGGCTGCTATCCACGGCGTGACCTGATTGAACAGCTGCCCCTCGGAAAAATGATTGTTTGTGTAAAGTACCAAAGCGGTGTACTCGAAGCCAAGCTCAGCATTTACCCTAGAGCAAAATTCAAAGTGCAGCGCAGAGCAGTCGTGCTTTCTTCCCAGGCCCCAGGCATTCCCGGGTGCAAATGTCAATGCAAGAAACTTGCAACATCTTCGACAATTCAGCTTGTGCCTGTTTCGGCACTACAGCTGCAGAATAAAACTTACCCCACGCATAGAATCTGTAGCTTTATGTAGCTTCTTGGTTAGTTTCCCTCTCTATAGGCCCATTCTGGTAATGCTGCTTCATCTTGCGTTCCAGTGTGGTCACGTGATCTGCCACCGCTGTGTTTGACTTCTGCTCTCATCTGAGCCAATCGCTTCTTTCGACGTTCTTGATGTCCATCGTACACGGCGTCCACATCGCTTTTCTTCGGCGAGTCCGCTAGGTCAATCTTGCGCCATTGGCGAGATTTATTTTTGTCATACCAGCTCATCCATTTCCTCAGCTTGTAGGGTGGCATAGCATGGCATAGCATGGCATAGCATGGCATAGCATGGCATAGCATGGCATAGCAATATTGTTGCAGGAGAAAAGGACATTCAACATCATTCAACTCAACAAGTTGCTGAGAATCTCTCTCCATCGCCATCTCAGATCAGCAAGTTGCTGAGAATACATCAATGTATCATAATGTATCTACATGCTCAACGGGCAAAAAACGCAGCACGTGAAACCACAAACCTCTCCAGCACATATCGCTAAAACATGTTATTATATATAGAGTTTTTGTGTGCATTTGCAGTTCGCACCACGTTTCCTAAAACCGAAGACGCATTCCTACAACATGCCAAACGCACGAACCTTTGAAATTCATATTCATATGGTGTTTTCATGTTTGCATGGTGCATGGCCCCTGCAAAGCTATTTAAGCTAATCAATCTTGACTCAGCCAAAATGGCTTGGCCCAAAAAGCATCATGTTATTTCTTTGGTGGGGGGATTTAAGGTGTACAAATTGAAAGCCGCAAAGCGAGCCAAAAAAAAAGCAAAACAAGAGCAAAAAGCTGCAAACGACCGCACATTGGGTCGATCAATTTTTGCGTGCTCAGAAGAATTTGATGCAACTTGTATCACTTGGTCACCGTACCTCGCAATTGGCTCCTGGCTCACTTGCTATGCCAAACAAATCAGAATTTCAAACGCTTTTAACTTGTGCCCATGTGGTCGAGTAGGAATCTTAGAATCCAACCCCGAACAAAAACATATACAAATGGGTTCAGGTAGTACAAATGTGTGAGTTGTATACTGGTATGTAATATGGATTGGAAACCGTCTATCAGCAGTGGCTGAGTTCAAAAACCTATAAAACAGATAAAACAACACAGTGACAGCTATTTTGGATTTAATGATATTTTTATGTGAAAATGCTCACTCAGCTGTATCTCCGTCACCTTCCCTCCCCGAAGAGCCAAGGTTCTCTTTGGCCTCATCCCAGTCCAGATTAGATCCCAAGTTCCGCCGCCGCCCTCGCCGATGCTTTAGACCCAAAGCTTTCACGATATTCATCGGTCTCTTTTCTTTTAAGATCCGGGATGGTGGTCTGCCCAAAACAGTCCTCATGGCACACCACAAGAAGCAATAAGTCTCACGTACTAGCACCAAGAAAACAAATTTTGACAAATTAGCAGCAAGCAGCAGGCATTAGAAAAGGTAACAAGGAATGACAAAGAATAGTGAAGCAAGTGGGTGCGGTCCATTTCGCATGACCCTTGGGGATTTCTTTGTCCCCCTTGTGCGTGATGAAAGGCATCTTCGGGAACATCTCCTGTCACGTGGACATGTCGGACATGGAAACCAACATGAAACCAGGCCAGTTGAGATGAGAATGTCCGCATGAATTGCAAATCACCGCGCCTGTATTCATCTCCACTGTATTCAGGACGAACAAATCCACAACCGGAATTACAACACAGGTGCCGACCAGAAACATGTTACATGAGCAGCAAGAATGCTGTAGTCACAGCGTGCACATCATTTCCAAAGCATCAAAGATTGAGATCCTTGTCTTCTGCTAGGGCTAGATCAGAATCAAGGTTTGTATTGAATGAGCTGTCAAATGCTGTCAATGTGAACCACTCACCTCCGAAGTTTAATCAGCTGGAACCGAAGCTTAATTAATAGCAGGTTTGTGCACAAGCTACGTTGACGCTGCACTTGAACGAGCTTCCTAAGTTGTTGAGTTGAGTGTCGCAAAGACAGATTTGGAGAAGCCAGGTTGGCTGGCTTAAACAAAACAGTTACACTTAGACTTAGAGCAACCAACAGTGTTTTTTTTCCGCAATCTCTTCTGGAACTTCCACACACAAATTCCAGCACAAATGCAGAATTTACAGGAAGTCCTGGGATTCCTTCGATTCCTTTCTCTTGCGAAGGCTGCCAGCATCTGGTGCACCACCACGTGCAAAATCTACATCTTCCAATTCCATTGACCACCTCAGCATCGATCTTTGCTATTCGGTCAATTACAAAAGTGACGCTGTCATGACAACTACGCACAGAATTTAAATGATTGGACAGCCTGCGCACTTCCAGCCAGTTGGGCTCCTCTCGGATATCAACTACTACAGTAGCAGTACTAGCAAAAGAGATCAAAAGAGTACAGTACAAGACTAAACCTTGCATGCACAAACCAGAACCCGCAGTGATCCCCATTTGGAGAACCCGGATCATGATTTGGCACAGCCCCGCAATGTTTTGCCAGGTAGTCAGTGTGGTTTGAACGCTGCATTAGTCAGTGCAGTCTTTGTCATGGTGAGATTGGCCAATACGATGTAATGATCACTCTTAATCACCGTCCCATTGAGGGGAGGGGAACAGAGCAGGATAAAACTTGGACACAGGTGAAGGTGAAGATCTTGCCGCAATTGCCATTTTTTCTTCGATTCTCAGCCGAGAGGCTCCCGTTCATAGCGTTTCCGAGCCTCTGCAATTAAAGCCCCAGCCTCAGAGGGTGCTTCTGGGGCCCAGCGCCGGAAGCCGGCAGCATAGTCTGCAGGGGACATGACGTCGTCTTCTGTATAAAGGATGTCACCTTTGGGCCTTTGTGGCACAGACCACGGATATACAATACTTTGATGTACTTTGATGCACTTTGCAGCTCAATCCGCTGGGAGCAGTCTTCAGTTCAAACATCCACAGATCCCAATAGATCCCACCCACTAGATTCCATTTGTAAATGAATGAAATCCCTTGGAGTGGCAGTCGAAGGTGACAGCATATAAAGTTCAAAGTATAGCGCTAACTGCCGCTAACTTCTCACTTTAAACAAACTGAAACATGATTGCCATACATCGGCATAAGAGAGCGTAGATAAACATAGACTATCAAAATGCTTCAAGAATCTTCAAGGCACCTTGTCTCCCGGCGCAAAATAGAGGCATCACCAGAAATCCGACCAGGAAATTTCTCAATCTTAGAGGATTTCGTTGTTTTCAATTTGGCGCTGGGTGCCTGGAGTGGTGCCTGAGTATGATATGGAATTTCGAAACGCCTCACCTCCGGCTTTACCGCCACAATATCCGACATATCCTCATCATCACTGCTCTCCTCCGCATCGGTAAATGGCCACGGGTTCGCTTGCCCCTCGCTCGAAGTGACAAAGTGACTCGGGTGGCTCGAATCAAAATGGCTCGAGGTACTTGAGGTGTTCGAGTCGCTCGAAGTTGACATTGTTTTCATGGTTGACTTTGGGGCGGTGTCTGAACGGAAGTCACTGAAGTCGGGAAAAAGAGTTGACATGAAGGAGTCGATTCGCTGAGAGTCACGATCATCTGTGGAAACATGGACCTTCCACGGAATGTCCTTGTTTGACTTCTCTTCGGTGTCAGCTTTTTGAGATGACCAAGAACCTAAGATCTCATGCAAATTGCTGGCTTCAGTGTCGCCAGCATCGGCCACATATTCATCGCTTTGTACCGTTGCTGTTGCTTTCGATGCAGCCGCCGCCTCTGCCACCTCTGCTTTGCGCGCCTTTCGCCTTTTTTTCTTCTCACGGTTTCGAAGGCGTCTCTGCTCAAGCATGTCATACACATTGATGCGAATCCCATCCTTCACCACCTCCTTTGCAACCTTTCAGGACGCATCAGCAAACCCATCCAACTTTAGCTCACATGCCTGTCACCCTTTTCCTACCTTGTATGTTGAAGAATCCACATACTTTCACTATGCCTATGCTTTCGCCGTTCTCTCTACTAGCCCTGCATTCCATTGACACGTGCTGAATTTCATTCAGAATTTGGCTTTGTACATTTCACATGAGCCCTCATGACTCTAGTGGCCCTAGTTTCTGGGTCATCACTGCGCCTTCATATCGTTCAAAATATCGCGCAAGGATTCCATGCCCCTTCGCTTGACCGCAGCAACTGGGATTGGAGCACTCGCCATCTTGCGAAACTGTGTCAGGTCCTCCTAGGGTAGCGGGCTCATCTTCCCATCGAGAAATGATAAGAAATCTGTCATCACACAAGGCATCGATTTAGAAATAATAGATTTAAACATGTATGCGCATGTTTAAAAACCACGACAATATAATGTATGATATAGGGAAAACATCCTGCCAGATTGGGAACTGAACGTGTAGTCATCACGATTTTATGAGTTCACCGTCTTTGAGAAACGTTGTATTTACATGTATTTGCTTGTTTTTGACACCTTTGCAAGGACAACATTCCAGTGTGTGCTTGCATTTCCCATGTGTTTTCTGAGGTAAAGTCGCATCTTTACATGTCCTGGCGGATCCCAAAGCGGAAGCCGTTTTTTTTTGAAACATGTGATTTTACATCAGTTTGATGACCTTGGGACTCCCACGACTTTCCTTTTCTTCCTTCACTTCAGTCGGTTGAGTTCGCTTGACTGGCATCTCCTGCGTATGTACAGTACCATGCTCTAGCGTAATGTCCAAGCGCGTGATATCATGTAGCTTAATGCTATGTCGACTACCGGGTCCTCTGTGTACCATCATGTAGAGTGATATCCTCTAGAATAACGTCCAAGAGTGTGAATAGTGTGATGTATGTGGCGTAATGTCATGTCATTTCCTATTTGGATGCCAGCCAATGTAGGCATCAGATGAATCATATGGCTTCATGATAGACGTGTCAACTCTGTTAGATTCTGTGAGCTAGTGCTACTATGTGCTACTGAACGTTGGACCAGATCCCACCCCACCTGAACAGAGTCAAAAAGGCCGTCAAGATACCCATGAAAATGCGCACGCCTACATACACGTTCGCTTTCCGACCCGGTCGCAAAATTTGTAAAGTGTAATATCAATAAAACACACAGAAAAATATAATATGTATATACATGTAGACTATAGTTAATACATCATATTTATAATATATATGTACTTCTGTACACTTGTATATATATATAACATAAATATTTAATGTAGTTTGTATATCCCTATCCAAACTAGAGAGTGGAGGGTGGGGATGGGGTCCCCCATTTTCTAACGGATCTAACAAAACGTGTAGAAAAGGAACCCCTGGAAAAATGGTCAGCAAGGGATTTGGCTGAACGCATTTCAAGAGTCATCCACACAATGTGTTCGAAAACACATGAGTCTTTAACTTCAGACAGTGGTCTAGAAAGGGAGGTGTTAGAAAAAGCAAATCTAAACAGTCGAATGGCATTTTTTCCTACGAAATAGCATCTGGAAAGGCATTCTTCCAAAATAAAGTAGGTTTAGAAAATGCATGATACATGTGATCTATGATATCTGTGTTTATGGTGACGGCGCTTTTCAGGCGACCACGCTGCAAGGTTCACTTAGGATTTGGTATGGGAACACGTTGGAAACGCATGCAAGGCGGTGGGAAAGATACGCTGGGGTTGGGGAAATTGATGAACAGTGTCAAGCAAAAAATTGGACACTGGAAGTGACATGCGCCTGACGATGCCAAAAACATGTTTTGACCAGGATGCTCTGTCTTTGGTAGGGCTGAATATCCCTAAGAAAGTGAAATTGCCGGAATGATATCAAATTTTGGAATAAAGAGCTGGCAGTCGAATGCGTTTGAATATTTTGAGGTGGGTGTCTTGAAGTCAATGGGATAACTTCTTGAGCTGAGGTTCAGCTCCTTCATTGCTGTCTTGATGAACATTGGTGTTTTTTTGGTGCGTGTGTGTATGTGAAACATCTGTAAGATGTAAAACTTCCTTGGCTACATGTAATACTAGTAGGGGGCCACGGCTCCATTCATCAGTCTCTGGCCAACGAAGCTATGATGTTTGGAGAAGATATGCAGTCTGATCAACTGCACGTACCTGCGAACCATTTCATTTCACTGGGAATGGCATGCGGCTAAGCCAAGAACCACCAATATCACATTTTATGTCACGCATGTTTGCCGCAATCTGGGGCTTTGTCAACACCTGGTAGGGAATTGGTTTATTTGAACCTGGAAATATTCTATTTGAACTTGGCGACATTTCGCTTGGTGCTATTTGTTTGCAACATGTCTTGGACTTGCTGATTGGTTTTATTTGAACAAGTTTCTGGTCGCATTGTACATCGCGGAGGACTCCTGAGGCTCGGATATCCAACCGTCCAACCTTGTTACAATTTGGAGGGATTCAGTTCCCAACAGATCACTTAGATGATCCAGTTCTTGTCTAGTGTGGGTGGTGTAAGCCAAAACTTGCAATTTCCAGGATTGGATGCCGCAACGTTGCTCTTGGAATGGGCACATGCAGCATAACCCGAGAAAATGGACGGATTATATCACAATTGTCCTGTGCAATGTCCAGCGCTTCGCTTCTTTATAAATTGTTTGAACATGACAGTCCTCTTACAAAATGGGTTTAGGCACTTTATAACTCGATAAATTGGGCCGACTGAGCACATCAAATATGTATTTCTTAGAAACGTACTGTACTCGAGCTAAATCATGTGCGTAAATCGGAATAGCATTCCAACCTCTTTTCCAAAAGAAATGGTTCCGTTGTTCGAAACTCCTAGAAACAGCTGCTCGAAAAGTGAGGCCGGACCATCCCCACCCATTTTCTATGGGGCCTGGGTAAAAAATATATGTCGTGTGTGTGTACATGTGTAAATACACATAATCAGACATAAGTATGTATACAGTATATATATATACACTTCAAAGTATAATCATTACAATTCATTGTGTCCATCCCTCTATCTATCTATCTATCTACCTATCTACGCCATTTACTAGAACTTGCGCCAGCCGCATGGCACATCGTTTGCGCCAGACATCAGTAATCTTCCGCCAGGTGGAAATCGTTTTGGCGCACAGACGGTCAAAGTGGACTTAATTCTGAAGCAGGAAACTCAAATATATCATACTATATCTATTTACATCTATTTACTATGCGCTTAATGTGCACTTGTTAACCCAAAGTTGACAACCATATGCCTGTTTGAACAGTCAGAACTATCATCCTCCGCATGGCACACCAAGTTTCATAGCATTTCCAACATACAAACTTGGATATAATCCACGTTGCAATCCTATGGGTTCCATGATAAATTCTACTTCATGCCAGCCAACCCTTTCATCCACTTCCCCATGGCACACCGCTGATTGGATCGACTTTCTTTTTTCAGGTCATCTTCTTATGCTTTTAGTTTCTTCCGCACAGCTAGCTTCCAGCCCTTTCAGACATCTCTTGGTTCTCTACCCAAAAACCGCGCCTTGCCCAGAAGCAGCAGCACAAGCAACAACAGCAGCAGCAAGACCATTGCAAAGCCTTCCCAAACCTCTCCGGGCTGGGTTTTGACTGGCTGCAATTTTGACGAGCTAAGTCTCCTGACAAACTCTTTGGTAGCCACACGCTTTCGCATTCTTTTCAGAACAGTAAAACTCAAGAGCTTTCAGCGGTGGAGCAGAAGAGGACACCAAGCCAAGCAGCAGCTGCAGGCAAGAGCAAGGAGACAGAAGAGGAGACAAAGGGCGAGTAAGGGAGACAGAGGGGAGACAAAGGGATGCAAGCTTGGCAAACAAGGCGGCGGTGACAAATTTGAGGGGGCACGTAGGAACCGTGATGGCCAAAGATATCTAAAGGCTAAAACTGTCCGGGGAAGAGAAAGCAAAGCCATGGGCAGAGGAACCACCAGGCATGGGGCAGCAGGTCAGGATGACCTATATTCGATTGTCTATATTTGAGCCCCAGACTGAAGCAAAACACAACTCAACCACATTTTTTTACGTATTAAACGTGTTAACAATTTCAAAACTCACAAATCGCAACGACTTTCATCTTTGGGGGTATAGTGGGTAAACCCACAAAGATATATATATATATATAACATCCCTGTTGGAATTCGGACCAAACCTGGGGGTTCCATTCTATAGGGACTAAAACGCAAACCCAGGACCAAGGGGGGCATTTTCCCTATAGAATAGAAACCCAAGAAAACCAACAGCCCCCTGCCACTCCTATAAAATGAAAACCCAGCATCATACTGGCCACTGCTTCTAACAAATAATCCACTATAAAATGAAAACCTGAGTCCAAGTGATTAGGAAAAAAACCCTATAGAATAGAAAACTGGGTTTGCAATGCCTTAAGTTTGGTTTCACTTTTTGGATCTGGGCTGGCACCATTCCACAAAAGAATCTACTTGGTGACTGGTTGGATTTCCATTTTATAATCACTTGGACTCAGGTTTTCATTCTATAGTGGATTATTTGTTAGAAGCGGTGGGTATGAGGCTGGGTTTTCATTTTATAGGAGTGGCAGGGGAGGTGTCAGTGAGCAATAATATTGTAAATACTGTATGATACTGTAAAATATTGACACATACTGCAAACGAATAAGTAATCAACACTGTTAACGAATCAGTTTTGTGCAGGGCTGCTCCTTTAAAATGGAGATCCAACCACTCTTCTAAAAATGGTTCCCAAGGATTTTTTTGCTTGAAAGGTGCCAGCCCAAACGTGAACCACATGTTGGGCCTTGGAAATAGCGGTTTCTATTCTATAGGGGGCACCTAATCACTTGGACTCAGGTTTTCATTCTATAGTGGATTATTTGTTAGAAGCGGTGGGTATGAGGCTGGGTTTTCATTTTATAGGAGTGGAAGGGGGGGTGTCAGTGGGCAATAATACTGTAAAAATATTGATACATATTGTAAACGAATAAGTGGTCAACACTGTTAACGAATCAGTGTTGTGCAGGGCTGCTCCTTTAAAATGGAGATCCAACCACTCTTCTAAAAATGGTTCCCAATGATTTTTTTGCTTGAAAGGTGCCAGCCCAAACGTGAACCACATGTTGGGCCTTGGAAATAGCGGTTTCTATTCTATAGGGGGCACCTAATCACTTGGACTCAGGTTTTCATTCTATAGTGGATTATTTGTTTGAAGCGGTGGGTATGAGGCTGGGTTTTCATTTTATAGGAGTGGAAGGGGGGGTGTCAGTGGGCAATAATACTGTAGAATATTGAAACATATTGTAAACGAATAAGTGGTCAACACTGTTAACGAATCAGTTTTGTGCAGGGCTGCTCCTTTAAAATGGAGATCCAACCACTCTTCTAAAAATGGTTCCCAAGGATTTTTGAAAGGTGCCAGCCCAAACGTGAACCACATTTTCGGCCTTGGAAATAGCGGGTTCTATTCTGTAGGGGGCATGTTTCCTAATCACTGGGACCCAGTTTTTCATTCTATAGTGGATTATTTGTTAGAAGCGGTGGCCAGTATGAGGCTAATCATACTGGCCACTGCTTGTAACAAAATCTAACAAATTTGAGGGGGCACGTAGGAACCGTGATGGCCAAAGATATCTAAAGGCTAAAACTGTCCGGGGAAGAGAAAGCAAAGCCATGGGCAGAGGAACCACCAGGCATGGGGCAGCAGGTCAGGATGACCTATATTCGATTGTCTATATTTGAGCCCCAGACTGAAGCAAAACACAACTCAACCACATTTTTTTTACGTATTAAACGTGTTAACAATTTCAAAACTCACAAATCGCAACGACTTTCATCTTTGGGGGTATAGTGGGTAAACCCACAAAGATATATATATATAACATTATATAACAGGTAAGCATGGTGTGCCTATGCGAAGTGCCAAAACATACATCAGTAAGTTAAAGTCATAGGCGCTGCCCATGTGGGCCTTTCCGCATAGGCACACCACGATATGGCACAAGATCTTGTCATCGGTACTTGTTACAACATGTTACAACATCGACCCAGACTTTGCCAAAACAATTTGAATCGAAACCGGTCTTGAGCTTGTTAAACTTGTTGCTTGATTTTTGGACATGCTAGAAGCTAGCAATACCGTCCTTCATGATTGTAATCCGCTTGGCAAGCTGCTTTGCTGGAACTTTGTCGCTCTTCGTCACAATAATTTGCCATGCGACATTGTGGCGCTCCAAATACGAAATCATCCTTACTGTCATCATGTGGTGACCATTGCAAGTGGGTTACAGCAAATTTGGAGTTCTTCTGGGAGTTTCCTTCAAAGGTAGTGCAAATCAAAAAGGCATTGGGTCTAGAAAGTGCAGGGTGTCTCTCTATCGGAAGGTTTTAACCCTTGTCGCCCGTCTATCAGTAGCAGCACTCGCTTTAAATTTTTGCGTGCCCGAATGTACCAAAGCGTAAATTCGGTCCACTGCAACCGCTTCTCATCTGGGGCTTGGGCAAAGCCATAGCCCGGCAGGTCAACTAAGCAGAGTTGCGCAGGTCGTCCCACCTTCCAAAAGTAGAGCTCCATGGTGCTCCCAGGTGCTCGTCTCATATTGGCGCAATACTGACCGCAAAGGTAGTTTATTAAAGTCGATTTTCCGCTGTTGGAACGCCCGCACACGGCAACTTCTGGCAAACGCGCCAATGGCAACTGGGACTCATGCAATGCAGCCGCCCACAGCTTCATCCGTGGCTTAATTTGACCCAAGAAGAGTGGAGCATAGCGATTGTACCTCAAGTCATACCACAACTTCTTTCTGTCTTCCTGTGTTTGCACACGTGCGACCCGGGTCTCAGCAATATATCTCAGCAAGTCATTCCCAGGACGTGCAGCCTTCTCACGCAATTTTTGGAGCCTCGCAGGATTCGTGGATGGATCTGTCAGCGCTTGAAACAAAGCTCTCCGACGTCGGCGCACGATGGAGCTGGTCCACCTGGACCAAGCGACGCCGGAGCCGCCAGGGCACAACGATCGACACAGGGGCCGGCCATGAGGAGCACACCAGGATGAGAACATGGAAATATGATGAAATATGGAAGTGAGATGACATGAGATGAGATCTAAAATGATATAAGCGGGGGCAGCCCTCAACACTCCCTCATATCCCCTTTGACATCAATGCTATAGTGTATGATACTTGTATTGTAGTGTGCATGCATACAGCAGGTGCGAAATGGTGGAGCGTGCAAAATGTCAACAAACTAGTACAAAGTTTTCTTGAAGATCCCCTGCCCCGTTCACAGTTCAGAGATTCCTAGGTTCATCACATCGCATGTTGCGTGTGTATGTACAGTACATGCAGGTGAATATGTCATGGTTGGCCTGCACTGCCAGGCCTTTTTGGGTCTGCTCTCATAATGCCCTGTATTGTCACTGAGAGTATGAGTGCTCAGCATTGCTTAGTGACACCTTGGCTTGAGAATTGAGTGTACCTTCGGACTGACGCACTGCAGCGCACAGGTGATACCATACTATATTGTATTATACTATGCTATATTGCATATATTATAATATAAAATAATTACGTAAGACAGTTACATGCAATTGCTCAATGCATGACCAAACGGGCATCAAATCTGGATTGAGTGTGTAGAGCTCCGGATATAAAACTCAAGCCTCAATCGGTTGCGCAATCTTTATTGCTGTTCAGCTAAATTGTTGTGCAAGATGGTGCAGCCTTCTGATGCCCTTGGCATCAAAGCTTCACAATAACTTGACAAACATATGTAGGAGAAACACTTGACATGAATTGAAACCGAGTCTGACATGCACGCGATGCACAAATACAAAGTCCCTGTGAACAGTCCCAGCTTATACAAAGTCTCAGCCTATTTTCAACTCACGGCGCTCTCAAAATCTCCCCCTTCTGCCACTCTCAAATCTGCATAGTTGCAGTCTGCAGTCATGTGCTGTCCCCTCTTCTCACTTCGACATTGCCTGGCACAGTTCATATTATTGCTCTTAACCTAATTCCCTTGCGGGTTGCAGGGTATTCTATTTTCCTTACCAACCTCGGGAAGGTCTTGCACAAACTTCAACCTACAAGTGCAGTAGGTATACCGTACAGTATACAAAAATAATTTTAGATGTGACTGTGACTGTCTGTGACTTTTTGTTACTGCATGAAAATGACGGTGAGATTGGAATCCCTGTCACATCGATGGCTCGCCTGGAAAGCAAAAACGCCCGTGACAGCCTCAAGCACAAAGACTTCACGTTTGCAGCGTTTGCACAGCAATGATTCAAAGAAAAATCAAGAAAGATTCAGAAATATCAAGAAAGTGCATGACCTCATTACACCGTTACAAGTTATACCCCTCAGATTCCCTCAAGCTTGGTGGCAAAGTAAATGCAAAAGACAAATCCGCTGACATGCGCTGACATGCCGTCTTTTGCATTACTTCTTGCTTGCTTCCAATATCCAACAATAATATCCTATTCTCGTCTTATCGCATCCCGTCTCGAAGCCAGAACAGCCTACATCAGCCTACTATGCCTCTTCCCTTGCTCTGGTCCGTGTTGATGTACTGGGTTCTCCGGCGTAAAGCGCAGCCGCCATGAAGCAGCCCATGCCTGCCTCTGGCTTGTTCGCCTGGTAAGAGACTTGCAATACTTGCAAGACTTGCTTCAGTTGAATTTCGGCTGCTATAGCTGCTACACTGTGGAAGGATTCTGGAACTGTGTATGAAGGCAGCGCTCATCTTCCAATCTGTATCTGATCGATGACGCTCCAGTTTAAGCCGCCCGTCTCCAGGACCTCAGGAATTTCCATCATTGGAGACCTCAACAGTGGAAGCTGCAAGTACAGCCTATGACTCAATATGACGCCAAATGACGCCATGTGACGCCCCCATGTCTAGCTTGTAAACCAATCACATCTTTTTCCTCTACGCATAGTTTAAAAATGTTTAATATATTTTAATCAATGCCAGTCCTTACTAGATGAGGAAGTAAGACCACAAGAGCACAAGGCACAAGAGCTCAGTGGAGAGCTGCTTGATGCGAAGCGACTGTGCCCAGGTCCCCGCACCCCACCGTACAAAGCAGGCCGAAGAAGATTAAGACTGGCACCGCCACCGCCGATAGGATAGTCTCAGCGCGGAGCAGTGTCTCATAGCAGTAATCAACATATGTCAACATATGTCAACATAGACGTTGAGGACCAAGTGTGATGCCACTACAAAATTGAATGGTATCGATGCATCCAAGTCTAAGAAAGAGCGTCTTTGTCTTGACTTTAGGAGGAGGAACACCATCCGTGCCACAATCTGCTGACAAGCAATCGAAACAGTTATGTACAGATACAAAACATGCCTAAACATTTGCCCTTGGGAAATTTTGAAAACACATCTTCAATTAATTGTGCTGCTTCTTGTGCCTGCATCGTTCTACAGTATCCACATCCTGAGTGACAAGCACAGAACGTTGCGCAACCACCAGCCATTGTGCAGTTTCCCTGGGGGTGTTCAACCTTAGAATTCGGAGGAGCGGCCATGCATTCTGATTACAACATACCAGTGCTGCAAGGCTTGGGTTCCAGTGAGCCAGTGTCTTAACATGAATCATATGCCAGGACGGGGATGATCAAGAATCAACACAAAAGAACAACAATTTCAAATGTCAGGTTGTGACTTGAGAGATGATCGAACTATCAAGGAGAAAATGAAGAGGAAGGAACACTTTATGTGTGGGTGACTGCCTTAAATCCACTCCTGTCACTTGCAGTCACTTGCGCTCATATACTGTTCTTTGCCGTTCTGTCATGTTCTGTCTCTTGAATAACTGTATTCAATTGTATTCAACTGTATATTCAATTGTAATCTCTATTTTCTCATTTTTTTTTTTTCATATTTTTGTTTTTCTTTGTATTTCTTTGTTTTTCATTGTCACGTCTTCGTTTTTGGCTCCGCGCTGGGCTCGCTGTGGCGGAGCCGGCGCAGCGTGACACAAGGCGGGGATCAGGGAACTTCGTCCGGAGCCGAGATGAAACACAAATTTCAAAAATGACGAGAATTGCAACATGAAAATCATGAAAACAACAAACATAAGCAAACATGCAAACTGCTGCAAACAGCAACGCGCATTAAAACAACATAAAACATCTGATACAACTGACCACTGTTTAGAGCATGAAAAGTAAAAGGAACGGGTGAATACTGTTCACACTACTGCAGCCAAGCGGTAGCCAAGGCATTGGAAATGTTGCAAATAACCCATACGCCACTTAAACTCAGCCTTTTTCCTATGATGCTTGTCTTTGCATTGGTTTGACGGTCTACATATCATTTTTTCTATTATGCGTACCGGGCTGTACCGGTGCGTTTGTGTTTCGGAGGACATTCTCCGTTTTATCGTGTCAAAAATGAATGGAATTGCATGAATTGCCACATTGTCCATGTTTCACATGGCTCAGAATCCTTGGGTGAGACGTTGCTATGCAATGCCACGTGCCAACAGCATGTCACCAGCTTCGGCGCAATTCAGTGGATCCAATAAAACTGCTCTCTTCACTGTGATTCTTGGTAGTTTCAAACTAAGAAAACAACGGCAATATCCTCGAAACACTTGCTATGAATACTTGCTATCACTTCCTTTTTCCTTCTCAGTCTTCTTGCTCCACTGCTATTCAGTTCTGCTTGTGTCAGAAATTCTCAGTAATCCATTTCTCTTCTTGGCGTCATACTAATCCTTGGTTCAAAAAAAATGTTTGCAACACGGCAAATGTTGCAATAACTTAAAGATCAAATGCTGGATGCCGCCAGTTGGCCAATCAACATCCATCAGCCGCCTTTGAAGACTTTGAACTCATGACGTGCCAGCGCCAAGTGATCCCCAGCGTATTTGTTGCAAAACGTGGGCAAATTGTTGTTAGCCCCATTCCTACATGGGTTCCGCTGTGCTAAACATGTTTTGGCCCACATGGCACGAAACCTGATCCAACACCCCCCAATCAACCAGCAGAGAAAGCAATCAATTTATATATATAAATATACAAATAAATTTCTATATGTAGAGATTAGCATGTTCATGGCAATTCAGGTAAAATGATATCTACTGAAAAGTTTGGGGGGTGAGACCCAAATGGGGTGAGAAAACCACCTTTAAAAATATGAGAAAACATGGGAAATTAGGGAAAATCATGGAAGATAGTGAAGAAAATATGACAACATGACAAGGGACGTAAAAACATGACAATTTGAGAATTTGACAGTTTGCGAGAACTGTGGCTCAAATTTCTCAGTCAATGCGCTTGGATGGTATCCAGCACGAGTTTGCAATGTCAAGGGCTCAGGTTCGTACAAAGCCTGTGGGCAGATCCATTACATGTGATTCTCAAAGGAGAATCAGGACAGCAGTGGTCTCCTGTTTCTTGAAGGTCAAAACATCTTCAAATGAATGGGCTTCAAATGGCAGGGTCTCACAGAGGGCAAGGTAGGGCAGGGTCTCGCCCATCAAACATCTTCAAATAAATAAGAGCAGATGGCAGGGTCTCACACATCAAGGAAGGCAGGATCTCACATAAAGGCAGGGCTTCACAGAAGACAGGGTCTCGCCCACTAAACAAAGGCAGGGTCTCACAGAAGGCAGGGCATCATAAAATAAAACATAAATAAACAAAGTCAGGGTTTCTCACAGAAGGAAGAGTCTCACAGAAGGCAAAGCCTCACAGAAGCCAGGGTCTCACAGAAGGCAAGGCCTCACAGAAGCCAGGGTCTCACAGAAGGCAAGGTCTCACAGAGGGCATGGTCTCACAGACAGCAAGGTGTGTCACTCATAGCAGGGACTCACACAAGGCATGGTTTCACAGAACACAAGGTGTCACATGTTGAACTGAGGCCTAACTCCCACAGAAGGCAGGGCATCACAGAAGGCAGGGCCTCACAGAAGGCAAGGCCTCAAAGAAAGCAAGGTCTCACAGAGGGCCCAACATTATGAACAAAGGCAGGGTCTCAGAGAAGGAAGGGCCTCACAGAAGGCAACGCCTCACAGAAGCCAGGGTCTCACAGAAGGCAAGGCCTCACGGAAGCCAGGGTCTCACGGAAGGCCAAGTCCCACAGAAGGTCTCGCAGAAAGGCTTCACAGAAGACACAGTCTCGCCCATTGAACAAAGCCAGGCTCACAGAAGGCAGGGGGGTGCCAAGCCTAGTTTGGCTACAAGCATGCGTATCACATATGGCGCAATGCAGGGTCTCACACAATAGACAGGGAAATAAAGGATTCCGCACCTGAAGGTGTTTTCACCCGTGAAATCACACGCTCCCGAACTGTTGCTCTCCTCTACTGCTCCCACACGCGAGCTGCTCTTGCTCACTTTCCGGCCCTCGACACTCTTCCATAACTGAAGCTTAGGATTTTATATTTGGTCTTCGATAGGAGCAAGATTCAATCTATAGACATGCTGCACATTTTTCGATAAGAACAGATGGCAGGGTCTCACACATCAAGGAAGGCAGGGTCTCACAGAAAGGCAGGGCTTCACAGAAGACAGGGTCTCGCCAGGGTCTCACAGGAGGCAGCAGGGTATCATAGAATATAGTTAAGGACAGCTGGTAGGCAGGGATCCGCGCTGATGATCTAGTAAGCAGATTAGGTACACTTAAGTACCCCCATGATAGCAAATTCTGAGGTACACTTCTGCCCACTGGGGTGCCTTTGTTTGTATGTTGTATGTAGCTGAATCTGCCTACTGGGGCCGGGGTTCCCACCATTGTGTATATAAACAAATTACATATACCTCAGAATTTGCTATCACGGGGGTACTTAAGTGCTTGCCAACTAGATGGGCATGGGGGTACAATTCTTACTAGATATTACTAGATCATCAGCGCGGATCCCTGCCTACAGGCCATCCTTAGCTATGAATAGTATCGGTGGGAGATGCACCCTCTGCCAACTGGTAGGAGTGGCGGTCTTGATTTTTCTTGCACCTAGTATCCAATACCCCAAGGTCATGAAACACATAGTACTGCAGTAAGCAGATGGTGGGGGGGGCGGGTTTGCTTTCTTTTTCCCCTCTTCTTGGTCCTTCTCTACCCCATGGTGGAACTACATTACTATTTGCTCCTAATTTGCGGGGTTGTATGGGTCCCCGTGCGGACAGGCAGCGTACATGCATACATTAAGGATAGACAGTATAGACAGTGCTAGTGCTGGTGCTAGTGTTAGTGCCAGTGCTGTTCAGCAAATGGAGCCGCGAACTGAGGCGATGTCTCTCTATCTATCTATATATCTATATCTACCTATCTACCTATCTATTTGTATATATGCACATGTCTATGTATATGCTCATTATATCCTCACTAGAAAGGAGGTGCAGTAAGCAGAAGCCACAATATGTTTCGCACCCTTCTGAGGTACACTTCTGCCTGCTACCCCTGCTTGTCCAAAACCTGCGAAAATAGCCTCCCCGACGAACATGCTAAAAACACACCAAATCGGACACATTTTAGGGCAGTAGTAACACTAAATTTCCTGCCTCCTGCCTACCGGACGTCTCAGACTATAAGCCAAGTCAAGGTCTCACAGAAGGAAGGGTCTCACAAAAGGCAAAGCCTCACAGAAGCCAGGGAGGCAAGGCCTCACAGAAGCCAGAGTCTCACAGAAGGCAAGTCTTAGAGGGCAAGGTCTCACAGAAAGCAAGGTGTGTCACTCATAGCAGGGACTCGCACAAGGCATGGTTTCACATCTGAAACAAAGGCATGGTTTCACAGAACATAAGGTGTCACATGTTGAATTGAGGCTTAACTCTCACAGAAGGCCGGGCCTCACAGAAGGCAGGGCCTCACAGAAGGCAGGGCCTCACAGAATGCAAGGTCTCACAGAAAGCAAGGTCTCAGAGAAGGAAGGGTCTCACAGAAGGCAAAACTTCACAGAAGCCAGAGTCTCACAGAAAGCAAGGCCTCCCAGAAGCCAGGGCCTCGCAGAAGGGCAAGATCTCACAGAGGGTCTCACAGAAAGGCAGGGCTTCACAGAAGACAGAGACCATTAAACAAAGGCAGAGTCTCACAGAAGGCAAGGCCTCACAGAAGCCAAGGTCTCACGGAAGGCGAAGTCTCACAGAGGGCAAAGCCTCACAGAAAGCAAGGTGTGTCACTCATAGCAGGGACTCACATAAGGCACGTTTTTACATCTGAAACAAAGGCATAGTCACACAGACGCAAGGTCTCACATGTTGGATGAAGGCCTAGCTCTCACAGAGGCAGGTCCTCACAGAAGGCAGGGCCTCACAGAATGCAAAGCCTCACAGAATGCAAGGTCTATGAACAAAGGCAAGGTCTCACAGAAGGCACAGGAGGGAAGGCCTCACAGAAACGCAGGCTCTCACAGACTGCAGGGCCTGACTGAAGGCAAGGCCCAACATGTGAAAGAAGGCTGGGTCTCATAGAAGCCAGGGTCGCACATAGGACAGAAGGCAAAACTTCACATGTGAGGTCTCACATATGGCAGAAGAGGGTCCCGCATATGACAGAAGGCAGGGTGTCACACACGAAAGAAGGAGGGGTCTCGCACATGACAGATTGCAGGGTCTCACAGATCTAACAGGGTCTCGCATGACAAGGCCTCACTCACTGGGCAAGCAAATTCAAATAAAGGTCGTAAACAGGCCAGAAGGGAAGGCATCAGAGAAGGCAGGGCGTCATAGCAATTTCTCGCCAAAAAAAGCATATTGCAGAAGTCTGGGTGCAGCATGGTTTCACAGATGGCAAGGTCTCACGGAGGGGAAGGCAGGGTCTCACAGGAGGCAGGGTCCCACATCTGAAAGAAAGCATCTTATTTGCAAAGGAAGCATAGGAAAGCAAAATGTTTTTTTTTCCCGTGATTCTTATGTTTTTCTCTTGTTTTTACCAAATAATCATGTGCCTTCCATGTTTTTCCTGGCAACCCTGGAAAACATCTAATGGGAGGGGTTTGGGAAGGATTATGGGGTGTGTGGGGAGGTGGGTGGGGGGGTTGGTGGTGGTGGGGGTGGGAAGGGGAGGGGTTAAGGAGAATGGAAGGGGTTGGGCAAAGTGTTAAGGGGGTGTGGAGGGGGGTGGGGGGGCTATTGTGGACAGGAGGGGGTGTGCTGAGGGAGGGAAGTCTTGCTCGCCCCGTTAATTGCGTTTTCCTCGCCCCGTTAATGTTGTCGAACGTTTGTCGGAGGAGGTGGTGGGAGGGATTAAGGGAGAATGGAAGGGGTTGGGGAGGGTGTTAAGGGGGTGTGGAAGGAGGTGGAAGGGGGTGGGGGTGGACAGGAGGGGGGGTGGTCCTGCTCGCCCCGTTAATTGCGTTTTCCTCGCCCCGTTAATGATGTCGAACGTTTGTCGGAGGAAGGGGTGGGAGGGATTAAGGGAGAAGGGAAGGGGTTGGGGAGGGTGTTAAGGGGGCGTGGAAGCGGGTGGAAGGGGGTGGGGGTGGACAGGAGGGGGTGGTGGTCTTGCTCGCCCCGTTAATTGCGTTTTCCTCGCCCCGTTAATGTTGTCGAACGTTTGTCGGAAATCTGCCCTATTCCGACCCTTCCAGCTGCTGTGAGACGCTGCCTTCTGAAAGACCCTACCTACTAGGCTTCTGTCCTGCGAGATCCTGTTAGATCTGTGAGACTTGCAATTTGTCATCTGTGAGACCCTTCCTTCTTTCGTGTGTGAGACCCTGCCTTCTGTCATAAGCGAGACCCTGTTAGATCTGTGAGACCTTGCAATGTGTCATGT